TCCAGCTTAAAAACCATTCCTGATCAACTTTATTCTAATTAAGACACGTCATCAGTTGTTATTGCGTAAAATTACATAATGATATGTGAAAAAGATTGATAAAAAGAGGAAAAGAGGAGAAAGATAATATGCTTAAATTATTGTTTTACTATTTGGAATTTATGTTTTTGTTCTTTACTGGAGAAGGGACCCAGGTACGGCATGGCTCCTAATGGGTATAAACGAATGAACCCAAGTCCATGGACCCAGACATAACTAGTCAGGGCTGGGTCTGTCGACCAATTGGGTATACCCCCATTGATGACATTAAGGCTTATTAGTGTTGAAAATTACTTCACATCATACCCCAGAAACAAAAATACTTGGTTCCAACATCCATTGTATTAATTGTAACACATTCTTGAGCAGAATCCACAACTGTGTAATAATCAGGCTCTTGTGGGTATCATAGAATCTGAGTTCTTCTACGGCTGGGTATGAAGTATATGAGCTCACAGAGATTTACTTATGAGAGAGTTCACAGTTAACAAGAAGAGGGAAAAGTACGGCTTTTATATATGAAGTTCTAGATTGTGTCCTTTCAATCTTTTACCTTGGAGAGAAAAACGGTTACAGCAGTGTACATGTAAGAAGCACGGTAGTGGTAGTAGTCGTAGTAGTTGAAGTAATAGTACACCCTTGGCCGTTTTCTCTCCATCCTTTCTATAAATAGAGGTGTCTGGGGACTCTCTTATAAACCATCCACACCTTATAAACCTTCTTCTATTTCTCCCACATCCCCCTTCTCCCTCTCTCTCTCTCTCTCTCTCTCTCTCTCTTTGTTTTACTTCTTTTGTTCTAATCTACTATATTAGTTACAAGGGACAGAGAAGGCACTGGTGATGTTGTTGACAGAAGATAGAGAGCACAGATGATGATGTGCGTGGAGTTCGCACCTCACTCCTTTGTGCTCTCTATGCTTCTGTCATCATCTTCAGCTTCTCTTCTCATATTTACTACTTTACTAATAGTCTAATACTAGTAAATTACTAGTACAGCAGCATACAATTGTTTATCTTGTTTAACTTTTCATCGTTTGAGAACCATATGTACAATGGATATCTCTAGCTATGTGTTTGATTTGTCTGATCCTTTTGCTTGTCTGTCTTTTCTGTTTGTGCAGGTCAAATTTGCTGATTGTCACAGATAATGTGTGCCGATGGGATTGATTCTGGACTTGGGTTTGGAGTAATTTCAGGCATGGAAGTCGTGAATCTGGTTCTTGTAGTACTGTTTCAGTTACAATTCTTCCTCTCTTATCGCAGCGAGAATTGCTTCACGGAATCGATTGACTGTTCAACTGGAGTTCATGTGAAAAATATGGGTTCGTTGTTGATTGCATGACGAGTTGTTCATCAGGTCCGTTTGTTAAAGCATCTTGCATTTGTGTTTTCCTATCAGAAACTGTATGTTTTGTACACAAGCAACGTCTGTAATTAGCCAATGTTCCATTCCACAATGTAAAGCTGCAATATTTCCTCTCTCTCTCTCTCTCTCTCTCTCTCCTTGTGGTCTTGGCTGAATGAAGGCCTATAGGGGGAAGTATATATATATATATATATATATATATTATGGGACTAAAATCATTTTCTGGTTAATTACCGAATTCCTTTTCAAAGTTACAGAGAAACTCCCAACTTTTCTTCTAGTGGGGAAAAGTTCCATTTCTGTTCATTTTGTGTTTATAACTCTTCTGTCATATTTCTGTTTTAAAATTCTGTTTCACTATATATAGCTGCTGAATGTTAAAAATCTATGAACCATATCAGATTACAGATGAGGATTTAATGAATACAAGCAGCCAGTGGAAATATACGAAACAAAGAGAGCAAATCATGTGGCTACTGAATGTTATATTTTTCTCTGGTATGTTATAACATGATCCGACCACAATACTGAAGAGTGAGTTGGGAAGATCTCTTCCCAAAATTTATTTCTGATTGCTTAGATGGCGAAAAGCTAATTCTTTATTGGATCCATCCAAGTCATAAGCATACAAGATCCTATTTTGGCTACAAGGTCTTACTGCATTGGGGAGGTTGAACCTTGAAAATGCATCTTCAATTAATTGGCAGAATATGGTCGGTTCACTGGTTGTCTGGTATAAGCTTCTATTAACTCACAGGAAGTTTATCAAATACTGTTGGCTTACAAAAACCCTTTTGGGGGTTCATTATTCACAGGGTCAAGAGCTATTTCAGATAAGTTGTATAGCTAATGAAATCTTTCTTTCAGTATCCATTATGAGAGATGTGGCCCATTCTTATTCTCGTGGCTTTCTACCTGTTTCCTTTAATTCTTTCAATAAAACCTTTCCATCTATTGAACTAAAGGTAGTCCAATTCCAGAAGAAGCGACATATATAGTAGGAGGTTGAAACCTTATCTCGTGTATATGAGTGTTCTGTGAAATCAATACCTCTCATATATATATATATATATATATATATATATATATATATATATATGTACCAAAAAACCCAACCAATGAATTAAATTCATTACACACATTCAAGGGAATTAACAAACCAGAACATGCATACTTTAAATGGTTCTAACAACTTGGTTGATTACTAATTAAATTGACATAACAGTTACCATCAATTGATTATCTCAAAGAAAGTTTTTGATTGGATAATGTGTGATTGTTGATCCAATGTCAAACCTAACGCCTTCTCTTGTCTCCTGATTGTCCATCACTTGGGCACTCGGAATGATCATATAAACCACTTAGAGACTCCTAGCTAGGAACAAGAGGGCAACTAATAATCACCTGCTGGAGAACCACAACTTTTCTCTCATTTCTATACTACTAGATCATTAAGTGGAAGAGGGAGTTGAGCAGGATTTGTATCGTTTGCTAATGAAAAGAAAAAGAAAATTAAAATCATTGAAAAAGTAATGAATATATAGAAGGTAAAAGCCTTGTCTACAAGAAAATATATTGTGTATAACAATATATATTTATGTATCCGAATACAAGGTTCACAAATAAATCATGAACAACCAACACTATCTCAGTAGTCAGTAGTAAGAATTAATTATGCATGAAAACTACTCATGGAAACCAACCACGAGTTGAATGAACAATGCGTTTATGGCCTTGAATGAAAAGCACAAAACACATTTTCTACACATTGTTGAATCCCACCAAATTTGCCAATATTTTTCGTCCATGGCTTGTAATAAATCATGGTTATGAGACATGGTTAGTAGACATGCCATTCATAAAGGATGCCTCAACCGAGAAAAAAAAAAAAAAAGTGTAGAGACTCAGATGAGCATTGTTGACTTACAAACAAAGATGGTCAAACATTTCATCTGAAGTAAACAGATTACATTTTGATCAATGTATCAACCCCCAATTTATTATGTTGTGTCATTCGAGAAGGATTGTTTTTTTTTTTTTTTTTAAGTTAGATTTGAGTACTAATTAATAAGAAGCATGTTTTAGTAGGATAATATATTGTTATTTTAAAATTAAAAACATGCTGAAAGTCTTTAATTTAAAGGCTATTTGTTTTGAAATCTTCAAAATCCAATGAAACTTACATTGGTTAAAAACCTAACTTCTAAATTTATTTGAATGCTTTTGAGTTCCATTAGGTGTTTCCATATGGTGATATTATTAGGGTAATTAAAATATTTAGGGAGAAAAATAGTCTATATAACATCTTGTTTAACCAGTGTATACACTTTAGTTCTTTTAATTTGCAAATATTTTCTTCTTTTAATGGTTTTAAGTAATTTTTTTAGGTTGACTTATCTGTATTTTCTCCATTTTCAAATATTTTAGTGCATTTTTACTGGGAACATGCAATGCACGTGAACACATTTGTAGATTTATAAAAAAAAAAAGTAATAGAATTAATATAGGGGGATTTTCTTTCTGCTTCTTCTTTTCCCTTTTTTTAAGAGGGAAGATAATAGTGGTGGTGGTGGTGGGGAGGTTCTTGGGAAGAGAAATTTTAGTAATTACAATTGAGATGTCCAAATTATCCTAATATACACGTTATATCTATCTTATTGTCCCTCATATACAATTTTATATATGAGGTCTCTCTCTCTCTCTCTCTCTCTTCTGATAAAGGTAAGGTAGATGCAATTCATAAAAAAGAAAGGTACAAAAGGCCTGGTTCCAGTGAGAGAAACCAGGCCCAACAAAGATACAGTACAGCAAAGAGACTGGGCCAGCACACAAACCAGCAGCCCCAATGGCTGAAAACAACCCCCCCCCCCCCTCCAATTCAAACAAGTAATGTCTCTGTTGCAATTTTTTATGAGGTTTATTGTAAAATGTCGTACCAAAATATTCTACGACTTCAAACCACCAAAACATAAAATATAACTCAAACTAGTAATGTCTCTGATATGTGGTTAATTTGATGGACCATAACCCATATAAGAGTCTAGGCCCATCAAAGCAAATCTTTGGTTTTGCATAAGTAATAGATGTCCGAATACATTTTTCTTTGTCTGTGGTTTTGCATAAGTAATAGATGTCCGAATACTTGGGATTCGATTATCTTCTTCGAAGAGACCTCATGTTAGTCACAGTATATATTTACCCACCATCAACTTGAAGCTTGACCCAGTTTCACCACTTCCTACTTTGCCTAATGAAAGAATTAACAACTAAAGTGATTTTCTGAGAAACAGCTAGAAATCCTTAATTTTTAGGTGCTATGGTTTTATTTTTTGTAGGAACCAATAGAGTACAAAGTACATAAAAAAGTGCATTTTTCTATCTAAAGCCTTTTGAAGTAATTCCCAAAACAAAAGCAAACGGTTCCTTATGATGTTATTTTAACTACAACAAATAGGGGTGGATTTCCATGATTGAATTCACCAAAACTAAATCAAAGAAGACTACCAAGCATCAATTTTAACTGTTAGTTATAAATGATCCATGTTATTTATTTGAATTAATACAAATTGTTCATGTTATGATATAGAATACCATCTACAAGATAGAGCAATGCCATTTCACATTAAATTCACTTATTAGGGAATTGTTGAAATTTGTTACATGAACAGGAAGAAGCATTGACCAGTCCCGCATTATAAGGACACCCCAATACCAAAATGGGGGAAAAAAAAAGTTAGAGAACACCTTGGGTCGGTTAGGGGAGTAGAAAGAATAAGATCCAACTCTTCTTATTGAAGCCATAAGATGAACTTCTTTTAGATAACATTGTTGTAGGGTTTAAAAAGTAAATGTTGGAGCAAAGATATTTACCTGCTTTCTCTCCATATAGTTAGTCCTTCTGTACACAACCTAATTAAGGTACTCATTGTTGGAGCTTCAAAAATTTACATCAACCAAACCTATAAGCAATGGAAACAGGTATATTATGAATCTCTTTAATCAGCTTTTCCATGTGAAAACTTATATAATTCCTGCTTAATATAATCCATTTCCATATTTTAACTTCAACTGCAGCATCAATTTAAGACAAGTTCTCATAATGGTATTATGAGAAGTTATCATGGTAACTGGTTTATGTTGAAATTATTATTATTATTATTATTTGCTTTTCCTTTTTTTTTTTTTGTGAATTTGATCTGTTGAAGTCGGCAGGTCTTGGATTCTTTAGGCACTAGTGGGTCAAAGGAGGTGAATACAACAAGAAGGAACCACAATGTCCCCTCTGATGATTCTGTACATGATCGTCTTGGAAGGAAAAAGAAAGATTCCCCCCAAGTCGTAGTCAATTTGTCATTGTCAGCCAAGACAAATAATTTTCAGTGACACTAATAGACTCGAATGGTGTTCCCTGAGATAAGATATTATATGGCTTCAGGCTTCAGGCTTCAGGTATGTGCAAACACCGTTGGTGAAGCAATCAACTCACAGTGATCAATTTCATTTCATTTCATCACTCATATATGCTTACATTTGCAACTCAAAACATCATGTATTCAGCATTGTAATTCATAAGGTGGTATTTCAATTATATTGCCCCTAGGCTGCTAGCTAGCTTGGATGCTGTTTCTTTTGTTTATGACTTTATTTCTTTTTCTTTTGGTTTGTAGTTAATTTAGCCTTGGTTCATGGTTCCAATAGTGAAATCCCATCCCATGCTTCTTGTGGAACAAAAACAATTGAATGCTGCACCCTCTTGATTGATTTATGCTTCCATTACTTAGAAAAGGGGAGCAGTGATTGATCTAATGTTTCATTCGACCTACCAACTAAAACGACTTACCAATCTGGATTTATGTGGGAATCTCTTTGATTTGACATAATAACAAGAAAATAAAATGATCTCTGAGAGGCTTGAAACAAGTTGCCATCCCTGCGGGATATCTACTGTTTATTGCTTATCATTTCTCTCGTCAGCCAATGTTGATCAACAAAAGCCCCATAGCTTAAATCATACCCTTAAAATGGAAATTTGACATTAAAATCAAACCCATCATCAACATGCTCATGGGTATATTCAAATCCATGGCAATAATGGATTGGAAGTTTCAACAAGAGATGATGGAAGTAGGTTTATTATGAGAAGAGGTCGGGTCCATGTGATAATGCTACTATTGTCCATAGTATTATGAGATATTTATATACGAAATAGTTGAGAGGTCAGAGAATGAAAGGTTACACCAATCGATGACACAGAAGTCCAGTCAGATAAATTCAAGTGATACTGATATAACAATCGAGGTAACGTTTGGCCAATATAAGTTTGTCGTGGTGTACCATTCTGTACCAACTACCAAAGCCAAAGCCAGAGATGGGCCGATTGAACTGCAAGATAATGATGTCTTACTGTTGTAAAGGGAAAATTACTTAAAAAGGCATGGTGGGTGTGAAAAAGAAAACGGATTTTAATTAAAGGTAACTTCTATCAAGCCATGCTTCCAAGGGTAAAACGACATTAACAAGAGAGAAGAGACGTACCATAATGATGTATGGTTGGTTATATTTCATATTATGAAACCATCTTTTTGTTGTTTAATTCTGTGTTCTTTCACTCTTTTTTCTTATGTAAATATATATATATATATATAAAGCACTAAATAAAACAAGAAGAGCACTCATAGAATTCTCTTCTTCATATTCATCAACTATAGCAGCTATCTTTTCATAGAATTTAAGCACTGAAAGTCACTAAAAGATGCATGAATGTCTCAGTCTGGAGTAGTGATTGGGACCAAGGTTTTTAAAACAGACCCGGAGATGAATCGGTCAGGGGTTTGGTTCCCGGGTCAAACAGTCCCACCATTTGAATCGAATGGTCGGTCCATTTTAACAAAAATAAATAAAAAATGGTCAAAACTGTTCGAACGATTAATCGTCTGAGTCAATGGTTTACTGACCAAAATCAACAGTTTTTGAGAAAATCTAATTTTCTGAAAAAACGAAACCGATCACCTGACCGATTCCCAATTTTTCTGGTCCAACCATCCGGTCCGGTTTTGAAAACCATGATTGGGAGTTGGGACTTCCCAAACAGACAGAAGAAACTAAAATGGATTATGCAATACAAAGGAAACACAGCAACGCAACCGGCACGAGATTGGGAAGAGAATAGTTGTAATTAGTGAGTGAAGCAACTGATAAAAATTCAAATTTTGAAAAGGATCATGCACTGTACTTGCAGAAATCAGTTTTGGGTCTTTGGGAACAAGACAAGTAAGATGTCTAAAGGGGCATCTGAAATCAAATGTGTAATTGTTACAGAAAACCCAAGAAATAAAGTCTATATCCACAGCTTAGAAATTTAGTCACGGACAAAGAATTAAAGGATTCTGTTTGCAGTTGATCAGGAATGAGATAGTAACTGCGTATCATCACCTCAATAACCATCACCCTCCAATTATATCCATATTTTTGAGAAATTCCAAAACCCACTCATCAATTCGTGACAAGGATTTCTTGTGGCAGTTCGTGATAGAAAATGACGTTTCTGGCAGGTAAGGGTGGAAAGGGTTCATAGAAGCTTAACTGTTGAAACCCATTGGCAAGTGATGTGGGTCCCTAGAATTTGCAGTAAAAACATGGTCATCATTTCAGAAAAATTGAGCTCCTGAGTATTGCAGCTATATCAATGGCAAAGGTTTCAGTTCCAACACCAAATATGTATGCCCAATATGAAAGCCTCTCTAACTAAAACAGAGAAAAGAAAGATATTAGGAAGAAGCTACAGCTTTTGCTGGGAGAAAGTAGCATTTGATTAGCCTTGGTTCATTTAAATTCTCCCTTCTGGATAGAGTAATTTATAGTGGCCATTGAGAAGAAGAAATTCAAAGAGACCAATGACAAGGATGGAAGAATTGGTAAGAATTAATGAAAACAAAAGAGGAAATCACACATCAGTACTCCAATATATCAATAATATATTCAATAAGTTGTCTTACACCACCAGTCCTAAGCCCTGATAAAGAAGGAGGGTTGCATCAGGTTGCCGGTCTAGAACATGGTTTTTAAAACTGGACCAGACCGGAAAGTCGGACTAGAAAAACCGAGAACTGATTAGGTGATCGATTCTGTTTTTTATCAAAATCAAAATTTTCCCAAAAACCATTGATTTTGGTTAATAAATCGTTGACTTGGGTGGTTAACCATTCAAACAGTTTTAACCTTTTTAAATTTTTAAATTTTTTATTTTTTTTGTCAAAATAGACTGACCATTCGATTTGAATAATCGGACCATTCGACCCAAAAACCAGACCCCTGGATAATTCATTCTTCGGGTCGGTTTTAAAAACCTTCGTCTAGAACTTCTGCCAAATTCTAATGATCATGAAGACGTTAAAAGGTTTAGGGCAGTGGGTAGACCAAAAAGAACATGAATTGATTTTAAGCATTTTTAATTTAACAATGGATAGAGTATATATTAAATAAAACCAGACGGTGAAATAGGATTCATGTAGACAATTAACCTTGCTAATTTGGAAGCAAATAGTAATTGAAAGAATTAAACCCAGAACAAGAATTGCGTGGAAATGACATATTTGGCCCCGTTATATGGATGCCCTTGTAGATAATTTTCCCTAAAGCTTGGCTTTTCCTTAGATGATATGTCTCTGATTGTTATGGTTTTATTCAAGTTTCAAGTTTCAAGATTCTAGCAGGGCGGCTGGGGTTTTAGTTTTCTGCTGTTCACGTGAATGACCAATAAGCATTTTTGTTTGTTTTCCTTTTTCTTTCCTTTTATTAATTTGTTCTTGATAATGCATATGCCACGTATGTATTTAATCTGCCCATATAATTTTTAGTGGTTGGCAATGGCCACGTGTCATGCATGTGGACACATAAAAGGAGACTTTTTTTTCTTTTTAAGAAAAAACTGTCTTTTGTCTTTTTTATTCGAAACATATGCATGTTTTTGTCTTTTTTTTTTCTCCATAGATACATTTTCCATAATTAATTTCGTGGATTTGTCAATTCATGGTAACATAGAAATATAAATAATTAGTTGTTTCATCAAACATTTAAGTAGGATTTGTATGCCTTTGACACATGATTGGATTGGACCCCGTCCAGTCCAAAATCAATCTAACGGATTGGATGGACCAATAATATATACTGGATTGGATCAATCTGGTTTAAAATATTTATTAGATTGGATTGGACCTGGTCCATCCATAATAAATTTATATTGGATTGGGTTGGATTAAGCCAATATCTAGTCCATTGATATAAGATAAGAATATATGTGTCAATGGACCGGGTTTGGGTTGAAATCAATTTAAATCAAAATGAATTTGAACAGATTAGACTGTTCATACATTGAATTGGACTGGTCCAAATTGGTCCATAACATTCATTGGATTGGATTGGACCTGATTCATTTATAATGGACTCACATTGGACTGGATCAGATTGGACCAAATCCAATCCAATTGACACCCCTAGCTATTACCATACTACATACAATCATACAAGCTAGGGTTAGGGTTCTTGATTCCCTAATATAAACTTATAATGCCTATCTTGATCAACACATAAGATACATAGAGGTGCAAATCAGGTCGTGTCGGATTGTACTTGCTACCTCTGAATGTTGTGTGGCGGGCCAGGTCAAGCCATAAGGGGTATATTTTTCAAAAATAATTTTAAAATAAATTAACAAAATAAAAAATAATAAAATGAAACTTTGATGATAAAATTGTTTATATATAAAATAATAAAATGAAATTAAAATACAATTGAAATAAAATAGTATAATAAAATTGGAAATAAAAATTAATACAATTATTATTATTATTATTATTATTATTATTATTATTATTATTATTATTATTATTATTATTATTATTATTATTATTATTATAAATATATGGGTTGGGCCGCAGGCCGGGACGGGCCACAGGCCCATGCCAGCGCAACCTGTGTTGTCGTGTCGTGTTGTGTCCGGCACGGCCTGCATGCTGTTGTGCCAGGCCGCATATGGCACAGCCCGATTTACAGCTTTAAAGATACATTTTAAGTATGTAATTTTTTATATTTTTAAAAAATATTATTATTTTTTCCTATAATTAAAATAATCATCATCCTAGCTTTATCCAACCATATGGGGTCAGCTACATGAATCCTATGTCATCATCCCATTCTATTTAAGTTATATTCATTGTTATATTATTAGTATTTAAATAATTTTTTACTACTTCAAGCCATGTCTTTTTAAATTTACCCTATCCCCTTTGGTTTTGGTACCTTCAACTTGCAACAGGTCACCTCTTAAGAATGATGTTAAAAGTCTTCTATACATATGACCAAACCATTTTAATCTACTTTCTTTCGTTAATTACTTATTAAAAATACTACTAAATTTCTTGTACTAGAAGAAAAATATCTCAGTGATGAACTGGATGTAAACCATTCCAGTAGAGCAAGGACATCACCGGGTCTGGAGCCCTTTATTGTCCATGGCTTTTTGTTATCGAAGAGGACAATTTTTAATAAGCCAATGAGAAAAATAATTGTACTATGAATGTATAATTTATGGGGAATGTCTTGGGCGGGCCTGAGAACACAATATCCACGTATGGCTCTAGGGCCCCAATAACTGGTAGTGATCTATATTAATACTATATTTCACTGATTCGTGTACCAAGCACCGGAAGGGTAACCAAAAATTCAATAATTCTTTGGGTAAAATACAAAAATCTCTCCTGAATTTTTTGAAAATCATAAAAATCTCTATTATAGTTTCATTTTAACAAATATCTCTCCTGAATTTTTGAAAAGTTCAACAAAAACCTCCTTGTCGTCATTGTCCCAGACCGAAAACGTTAGATTGATAGCTCAGTTTTTTTCAAATACTCATTCTACCCTTTTATAAATTATTTTATATACAAAATTACTGAAATAATCTCATTTTAACTTAATGAAAACCTCTTTTAACGATCATTTCAGTAATTTTACATACAAAATTACTGAGATATATTTTTTTTTGTTGAGTTAAAATAAGATTATTTCAGTAATTTTGTATGTAAAATAATTTATAAAAGGGTAGAATGGATATTTGGAAAAAACTGGTGCATCAATTTAACGTTTTCCATCTGGGACAGTGACAGAAGGGAGGTTTTTGTTGAGTTTTTCAAAAGTTCAAGAGAGGTATTTGTTAAAATGAAACTATAGGGGAGGTTCTTATGATTGTCAGAAACTTCAAGGGAGGTTTTTGTATTTTACCCTAATTTTTTTTACCACCTTATTTAGACTAAGGTTCAAAGTATCGATACAGAGCGATACGCCGATAGGGTGTATTAGCCTGTATCGGTACTGTTTTTTTTTTTTTTCAAATCTGGTTCAGAGATAGGACTGTTCATAAGAAGACCCAACCCGACCAAACCAACCCAACCCGAATCGGCCGGGTTTTCTTCAGCACCGATCGGTTTCGTGTTGTAAAAAATCATAAACCGACCCGAACCGAACCGACTTAGTAGTTAGTAGTTAGTTCCTAGTTAATATTTACCACCTACTTAGTTCCTACTTAACTAACTTGTCTCTATCCTAGTTACAACCTAACTTAATTTCTAGTTTTCTAATTAGGAATGACATTAATGACAAGTATTGTAAGACAACTAGACAATGAATTTTTTTGGAAAAGTTTAAAGAAAATAATCAAAGGATCCTAGTTTTTATGGTCTTTTACACCAAATAGGCAACCAATTACAATTAGAATTAGGTGTCATTTTTTACTTATATTAGAAGGTTTCTTGAAATATACAAATTTCAGTCTTCTTTCTCTAATACAATTTGACTTTCTATTTTCTTGATAACTTCTATTCTAACTTGGTCCGCCCCCTACAAATTTCAGTCTTCTTTCTCTAATAGAATTAGGTGTCCTTTTTTACATCAAAATTCAGTCTTCTTTCTCCAATCTACCAATTTATTACCATGGTTGAACTTAGAGCCGAAACCGACCCAAACCGACCAAATCGGTTTTAGTTTCAATTTCAAGTAACCCGATCAAGTCGGGTCGGTTGAAAAAATCTCAGTAAACTGACCCAACCCGACCCGTGAACAGCCCTATTCAGAGGGGTCAGTTGACCCCTAAATCACTTGTCGACCTGAAACACTCCCTGTAAAGGCGTATCGGGAAGGCTCCTATAGGATACGCCGATACGTGACAATATTTTTTCTGGTTTAGACATGGCAAGTCATGGGCCAGACCCAATATCTTGCCTAACATAATTTTTCTACAGTTAAAATTTGAATATTTCCATGAATTTCGTGTCGATATCAACAAATCAAACATTTTACAATATAATAATTTCTATTTACTTTTCTTATAATTTAATATGTCCTTAGTTCTTTATATAAAATCTACTCACCCACTCCTTAGCTCTTTACTACTATTACAATCTTTCCTATTATAGTAATGTATTCTATATCCTTCATTTGGTAACCTCATTGTGCAGCTTAACTACATATAAACTAGCTAGTGGGCTTTGAATATACCTTTGTTAGTGAATTTCTAACAATAACTAGTTTATATTAGTGGATTTCTAATAATTATTTTTTGTTTAAATGCTCTAATAGGTTTAATTACTTTTTTTACTATACAGAGTGATGTAACTTCATGCATGAGGCATCCATATCCTACCATTCTTTGAGAGACTTGAGTGATTCATCTTGAGTGGAAAATAAAAATTCTTCTCTTAGGTGTGGTGCCTAAATCCCGAAATTTTGTACATCTTTGTGGTCTATCTCTTCATTCATAAAAGTTTTATCCAATTTTCTTGTTTATTTCTTTTCGGGCTATTGCTTCTTCCATTTTATTTCTTTTTACTTAAGCTTTGTCACCTCATCCTACTATCAGCTTAAAAAAAAAAAACTCGCTCATTGAATTAGTGAAGCTAATTAAACGATGCATATAAATCCAAATTTTAGAAAACAAACATCAGATCCCCCAATATACACAAGAAAAACAATTTAACAAAATCATACTTGTTGCTGAAAACCCACTAAATTATATTATTATGAAACAATGCCTGTTTTGTATTACAATACTGATCTATTGCTTAGGAGAAAAAAAAAAGAAAAGAAAAGAAAACTTTTTGCTTATACATTGTTTTGTACACAGCTTCTTATTATATATCTTATGCAGAAATCAAAGATTTCTATGCATCCACCTAAGGGTGTAAATGGACCGGTTTTGGATTGAACCCATACAGTCCAAAATCAATTTGGATGGATTGGATGGACCAATAAGACATATTGGATTGGATCAATCCGGTCCAAAATATTTATTAGATTGGATTGGACCTGGTTCGTCCATAATAAATTTATATTAGATTGGGTTGGATTAAGCCAATACCTAATCCATTGATATAAGATAAGAATATAGGTGTCAATGAACCAGGTTTGGGTTGAAACCAATCTAAAACAAAATGAATTTGAACAGATTGGACACTCCAGGCAATAGATTGGACCAGTCCAAAGTATTCATTAGATTGGATTGGACCTGGTCCATTTATAATAGACTTACATTGGACTGAATCGGATTGGACCAAATCCAGTCCAATTGACACCCCTACATGCACCCCCAATAGCTGAGATGATGAATGGACCTAACGTGTATATATATATACTCCCCATCCCCATGTCCTGCATGCAAACCTTAGTGGCTGATGTTTCTTGAACATCATGGACCAATCCAAACTCCAGCGCTTCCACATTCTATCTCTTTCTTCGAATATAATGAAAGCAGAATTTAACCTATATTCTCAGTCTACCCACCAAATTAAGAACCGAGGTCCATTTCCATGTATTGACTAAGCCAAATATGGCTTGACTTGGGATTGGGGGTCCAATAAGTATCATGGGCTCAATTTTTGGGCCCATTTTCAAACTTGGGCCTCTTTTAAAAACCCATTTCTTACGTGTATATCTTAGAAGCTAAGCCCATTCTGCTCAACCATTCTTGGTTTTCTGTTTTGAAGACTACTATTTGAATTTTGAAGTACATTATACGTTATTATAACATTATTTTTGCCTGGTATTAACATCACGCTTTCCATATAGTTACCGAATAACAAACACAAGGGAATTGCTCCCTGATGTCTTTGTGATCCCCCAAACTCTCTCCCAAGTCCCAAACATACAAAAACTGATAAAATTGCTAAAAAGAAACAAACAGAAGAGATTGGACAAAGCAAACAACAAAGAAGGAAGAGAAAAAACACGAGTGGATCATTGGGAAAAAGTATTTGAGCATAAGTAAACTTTCAACTTTACTAAAAAAAGGACTAATTAATCATCCCAGCAAACAAAAAAGATAAAAGAATGAAAGAGTTTTAGAGAGAGAGAGGAGACTTTACTGAGTATGGCAGTATCGACTGCTGGGCGCGTTGAGGCCTAACGAGGGTCCATGGTGGATTTTCAGGAGTGTAGATCGCCATCGCCGCCAACAGAGCGGCAGAAGTAACCAGGTCCACCTCCATGACTCCATCCTTATCCTTTTTCATCTCTTTCTCTCTCTTTTTAACCCATTTAACGTCTATCCACAGCGGATTGGGGAAGGAGAGGAAAGAAAAGAAAAGGGGCCAAGCAACTTTTCTGTAACTCATTTACCAAAATACCCTCATTTAGTTACCTCACATCATGAGGGCCTATATGGTGGCATATCTGTAAATGTAAGCTTATACTGTACCCTCCTTTTAGTGAGCACCGAGCAGTCACAGCGAAAAGCTATAAATTATAAAATGAAAATCAATAAACTGTTGCATCTTGTTTGTTTGCCTGGGTATGGGTGGTTGCGTCACTTCATTTCCGACGCTACGCGGCAGCATCAGCAGGTCTCGACTTCCACCTTTGCCCAGCCGGTGAGTTATCACAGAGTCTTTGTGGGTGTTTGGTATGTTTGTTGGCTGTGTGGCTGTTGTGATTAGGGAGGGTTTTGTAAATTTTAGATCTTATTTGTCTTCTTAGACCTTTCGATCCATACCTGTTCAAAATTCGTAGTAGGTTCAATTTTAAGAATTCGTCTCATGAATATGCAAAATCCTCTCCGCATTCAAGGGTAAGGCAAGTTGATTTAGAACCTACATCTAATTTCTTATTATTTCTTGTCATATATAAATAATAAATAAGTAAAATTACACAAATAAAGAACAAAATTTATAATTATTTGATTAAGATATGTAGAAAACACATAAACTATTAATTATCTTTCACATAAAATTCAACATATTATTAAATTCAACGCTTAGTATATAAAGTTTATATGCTTTCTAACACTATGCGCGTTGGGGAGGGTCAAGTTTAGCCTAATATTGTACTCTATCTTTACCCGTACGGATTGTAGAATTCCAAAGCCCATCCCCACCCCAAAACCTGTCCTTCAAGCAAAAAAAACTGCCCCATTGGTGAGGGTAGGGGTGGGTATCTACCGATTATGATAGAAATTGCCATCCCTAGTTGTGATTCCATCTAAGTATGGGAATGGCCAAAGCCCATCCTCCATTCCTGATCCCCAATGGATATGGGTTCCTTCTAAGGATCTGAATTCCCAAAATTTTTTAATTAATAGTATTTTTTTGAAAAAATAAATTGAATTTAAAGATTTTTTAAATATAAATAATACTATATACATAAAATAATATATAATTAATATGAATAATATTTAATAATTAGGTCAAAGTGGGGTAGGGACTTCATTCCCCACCCTGACCCCATCCCTTGATGGGGTCAGGGAGACCTGATACCTAGTGGAAAAGGGGAAAATTGACATTCCTAATTCATCTTAGTGGCACATTAGTTTTAGGCTATTCTATTTGACTCTTGTTTGGTAATTCGATTGGGTACAAATTTTATTAGAGGAAATTCACTTTTATTATCATTTTGATTGGGTTACAAATTTTGCCTGTGTGGTGCCTACTGATGCTTTATGTGTAAGAAGAATCTTGTTTGGTTGATTGATTGGGTTCAAGTGTTATTTTTTTTTTATTCGGGATTATGTGAAACTTACAATTAGGCTCTATTTACTTTTTGGTAAGTTACTTACTCGGATAAATGCATTTATGATTTACCCATGTTCTTTTATTTCTCAGGTAAATATTTAATGACCATTTTAACCATAAAAATTTATTATTAAAATGGGCATTTTTGTCCCATCAAAGTGTTGACAACCTTCCCCTAGGTGGAAAAGTTATTTACCCACCTGTGAGACAAGAAAATAAACTTCCCATGGTTTCACATAAATTTGGTACAAGAACATAGGTTTCTTAGATCCCATTGACCAATTTTTCCCCTTCTCAAAATCCAAAATATGAAAAAATAACATAGGTTTCTTGAATCCAACTAACCAACTTTCCCCCTCTCAAAATCCAAAATATGAACGCCCCATTAAAGAAACATCATAAGGTGGTTGTAGCTTATGTGTAATAAAGCAGAATAAACAATTGTTGCATTGTACTCCATGCCTGCAACGATTTTCTGTTTTTTTTCCATTTTTGCTACATGTGAATATTAGCATAAGTGAACACAAAACTGAAAAATATTTTTCAAAAAGAGAATTAATTGTAGGGAAGCAGGAGAAAATAAATAACGTAATTTGTCTTTCCCATCGAATATCGTTTTTCAAGAAAATCTAATGGGCCCAGGTAAATCTAATGGGCCTATGATCCTCCTAAATATTGGTTATCTATATGTGAATTTGGTATCTCAATTTTCTATATGTGTTTAACATTTAACTATTAGGAAATATATAATTTGTTCCATGGTTTTTAAAACCATATCAGACCGGACAGTTGGACCGGAAAAACCGAGAACCGGTCATCTGATCGGTTCTGTTTTCCCCAAAACCATTGATTTTGGTCGGCGAACCGTTGAACTGGGCGATTAATCGTTCAAACGGTTTTGACCATTTTTTATTTTTTTGAAAATTCTTTATTTTTTTATTTTTCTATCAGAATGAGCCGAGCATTCAATTCGAACGATCGGACCATTCAACCCGGTAGCCGGTCCCCTGACCGGTTCGGTCACCGGGTCGGTTTTAAAAACCATGATTTGTTCCATTTAAAAATTTGTTGATTTTTTGAACGTATTGTTTCAAACCTTTACCTATGCTATGCTACAATACTCCTCTTTGTATTCATAAATTCTCTCACCTGTCACTATTGCTAATTTAGTAATTTTGTATAATTATTTTATATTTTTAACCATGTTAGGAAATTAAAATTCCTAACCAATATTTTAAAAACCAAACCTAAGGCTGAACTGTTTTTCCCTGGGTAATGGGTCACCAGTTTGACCATCCATGTCAAGTGGATTTTAAGCAATTGATCGACTTATTGTCAAATCCTGGGTTTTGGAAAAATCAGACCTTGAATTATGTCTAGTTTAAAGAGTTCAACCATCCAGATCAATGGTGGATTGAAAACCTGATTGATGATGTGGCACTGGCATGAATGAAAAATACACATTTTTCACCAAACAGGTTTAAGTTAAAACAGTGGTATTTGTGTTCCAAATATAAATGATATTTCAAGTGAAAACAGTGCAAATTCAAACACCAATTGTACTAAACACAACTGACAGCCTCATCTCTAAGGTACTGGGTTCTCTACTCTCTACCCCCTTGTGATATGTATATATATCATGGAACTTTTCCTCTCTACTCTCTACTCTCTAAGGTACTGGGTTTGGTGACAGCCTCACCAAGTAGTAAATGGATTGATCCTTATTTTGCATCTGATGAATCCTGTATCCTGTATTCCTGAACTTTTCATTTTTTTTGGACACATAGGTTGTGTTTGGTTTGAAGGAAAAAGTAGGGAAAGGAAAGAAAAGGTAGGGAAGTCTTTAGGCTCCGTTTGGTTTGTGTAAAGATTTAGGTATGATGGAATGGAAAAGTGTAAAAATTTACACTTCCATTGTTTGATTTTATATTTGGGAAAATAATAAGAAAAACATTGTGACGAGCTACTTCTTTGTTGTGGGGTGCTCTATTTCACCAAGAGGAAGATGAACAGTAGTTCGTCGACGGAAAGTAAAGATGATGAACAGTGTCGCTGGTCACCATTGGAAAGCGAACAATGCTGCCGGAGACAGTAGTTCAGATTAGCAGGTAGCAGCAAAGCATTCGGACTAAAGTATAACCTAACTTTCCTATTCGGAAGAAGAAGAAAAAGGAGGAAGGGGAGTGACTGTTCATCATCTCCTACCTTCAAACTAATAGGTAGCAGTGGACCGAACCCCCATCTCTCTCCATTTCTAAATCTTACTCACATATTCCTCTCCTTCTCCCTCCATCCTCTTCTCCGTTCGTTAGTCCTCTGTCGAACGTCTCTATCGGCAGTGAGGGAAGAAGCACACCAGAGTAGATTGTGTTTCTCGTATCATTTTCAATATAAACCCAACACTCGCGAAGCTACGGTCGATAAGCTTGGTTTCTTAATTGAATCTCTCCAAACCGGCCACAAATCATCGTTCTTATCTAAAGAAAGGTACTCTGAAATCGAATCGAGCTCGAATCTCCTCTATACACCAATTGAGTTCAGGCTAGACACAAAAGGTATTGCTCTGCCCGATTCGCCTTAAACTTAGGAAGAGCTACCAAAGTTGTTGGTGAAATCTCACCGAACCAGCTCGTGCTTTTGGGTTCGAATGAGGAACTAGAGGTAGCAAATCGCCGATGGTAACAGGGAAGGCACTTGTCCTCTCCCTCCTCTGTTCATCGTCGCTAGTTGCCTCCTCTGTTCGTCGTCGATGGTAGCAGTGCTTTCTCAAAATTTTCCACTGGGGTCGCACGGCTTTGGTGCGATCCCAAATCCACAATTTTGGGATCTGACATCCCACATTTTTCTCGTCCCATCCCTTTGTTTCCCTCAAAACAAATGAGAGAAAAATGAATAGTTTTGGAATATTTCCTTTTTCTCATCCTCATCCCACAAACCAAACGGAGCCTTACAAACCTTGTATAGGTTTCCCTACCTTTTCCTTCAAACCAAACATAGCCATAGGGAGATTTAGGATAGGAACATAGTAGGGTGCAGATAAAGCTCGATTTGGAAAGAGTACAATTACATATAAAATAATACAAAATACATAGTTTTGCACACTACGTATTTGTATTTTTACTCCTTCCAAACTGAGCCTAACGTTGTGTTTGATTGCAGTGCAAATTTATTTGCACTAGTACAAATGCATGAGAGTGCAAATGTAAAAAATGCAAATTCTTATTCAAACAAAATAAGCTAAAATTTAAAAGAAAAATAGGTCAGAACTTACACTCAAATCATTTGCACTGCCATGGTTTTCTATCGGTGGAAATTTATTCGCATTGCAATCAAACACAGCTACCAGATCATTAGCATACTCTTGAACTCAACTCATTAGATGGATTCTGACTAACACTAGCAATTGATTTATCTTTTTCTTTTTACATAAGTTTGTTATTTTTGGCATATTGATGGCTGATACTTGGGTTTTGCTATAATTTAGGATCGATACAGCGGAATTTGGATAAAGGATTTTCTGATTAAATGAATTTCGGATGTTACCCCTATCCAATTAATTGGGTCCATTTTCTGCCCTACACCACAACTCCTTCCCCCTCCCTCCACCTCG